GACTAGACTAGACTAGACTAGACTAGACTAGACTAGACTAGACTAGAATAGAATAGAATAGAATAGAATAATAGAGTTGGAAGGGACCTTGGAGGTCTTCTAGTCCAACCCCCATGTAGGCAGGAAACCCTACACCCACTTCAAACAAATGGTTATCCAACATCATCTTTAAAACTTTCAGTTTTGGAGCATTCACAGCTTCTGGAGGCAAGTTGCTCCACTGGTTAATTGTTCTCCCTGTCAGAAAATTTCTCCTTAGTTGTAGGTTGTTTCTCTCCTTGATTAGTTTCCACCCATTGCTTCTTGTCCTGCCCTCAGGTGCTTTGGAGAAGAGCTTGACTCCCTCTTCTTTGGGGCAGCCCCTGAGAGATCGGAACACTGCTATCATGTCACCCCTAGTCCTTCTTTTCACCAGACTAGACATACACACTTCCTGCAAGCGTTCTTCATATGTTTTAGCCCCCAGTCTAATCATCTTTGTTGTAAACAGGAGACAGGTAGTATCGCATCAGATTCTCCACCATCCAATCAGAACTGAAGAAGCTTCTTGGATGAGAAGCGAAACGTCTTCAAGGTAAAACAAAGTCCAGTTGCCTTTGGAAAAAGCACCTTTGGAATTATTTGTTTGGGGTAGCCTCCTGCCTTGGGCAGGGGGTTGGACTGGAAGACCTCCCAGGTCCCTTCCCGCCCTAGAAACCTGATTCTAAGATGTGAATTTTCATTGCATCATGACTCCCCCCAAAACCCCACATCGGGATAAATGCCACAATCCAGTGATTCTGAGCGGCAGGAAAACCAGACATCTGTCAAGATCCAAGAGCAGTACAGGTAAGTCCTCAACTTACGATCACAATTGAGCCCAAAATGTATGCTGCTAAATAAGACGTGGGTTAAGTGAATTTCGCCCTATTTTATGACTTTTCTTGCCGCTGTTGTTAAGGGAATCATTGCAGTTGTTAGTCACATGGTTGTTAAAGTGAATCTTGCTGCCTCATTGACTTTGTGTCAGGATTCCGGCAGTTACTCCAATTAAATCATGAGCTTCGAGCCACACTCCCAAAACTAAAAAGGATTTATTAGAAGTTAACATTCTACGTCCGGCAGTAACTTGGGCGCAGCCAACTCTGAGATATGTAATTCACTGTCACCCTTGATCCTGCTTTTCCCCCCCAGCCCTCTGGGTGTATCATCCAACAAAACACGTCCATAGCCAAGAGTCATCAATCATGCTCTCCAATTAAATTTTTGAGCGGCAGAAGCTTCAGCCATCTAATCAGTCTTTGAAGAAAATATGAATGGAATGTACTTTCGATTCCACACTGCCGCCTTCTCTTTGAAACTCCCCCCTGCCCCCTGTTTCTGTTGTCAACTACAAAACGTGTATAAAAAATGTTTTATGAGTTGACATTTTGCTTATCAGAAGGTTGTAAAAGGGGTCATAAGTACGAACCAGTGGTCAAGCATCTGAATTTTGATCAGGGGATGCTGCAATGGTCATAATTGTGAAAAACAGTCGTAAGTCACTTTTTTCGGTGCTGTTGTAATGTTTGAATGGTCACTAAATAAACTGTTGTAAGTCAAGGACATCCCTCAAATCCAGATTGCCCTCAAGGGACTTATTTTTATTTGATTTGATTTGTCAATCGCTTACAAGATAATAAAGATAAGAATAAACATAACTATAAATACAGGAAATAGGTACGAATAATTTTGGACAATAGGACAGGGATGGTAGGAACGATGGTGCACTTATGCACGCCCCTTAAGACTTGGTAGACTTAGTTTAAATTAATTTCATTATTATTCTCAGTTAAATTTATTTGCCAACTATTTTGCCCTGTCAGCTACTCTAAGCAGCTCACAATAACAAAAAGGAAGAAAATGAAAAATAAAACAAAGTAAAACAAGAGAACAATAAAATAAATGATGACAAAGAAACACAATGAGAATAATACATCCATCGATAACCAAAAAGATGGATGGGTAGAGAGCTGAGACCAAGCTGGGGAAGATGAAATTATTTTTTTCTTGTCAGTAACACCAACGTCAAATGGCACTGCCTCCATCCAAGGTGGGGTGTTTTTTTCCAACTTCTCAATCCAGTTTCTGCTTCTAGGATTCCCTGTGTTCTGACCAAGGCTTCCTGAGACCGTCAAGCTTAGTCAAAACAACTCTTGTTTTATTTCAAGGCTGGGAATTATGTTCATTCCCAGCCAGTAATGAGTCCCCAAAAAGTCTCTCAAGATAAGCACCCACCTTTCTCTCCTTTGAATTGCTGCCAACAACTCAAGTGCCATATTAACTGTAAAAAGCCAACCGAAGTACAAAGTCCACACAGAGCTTCAGAAAAGAGTGAACAACTTTGCTTCCTGCAAAGGTTTCTCCACCTTTGCTTGTCCTTTATACCTTAGGGGAGGGACAATCACCTCCCAGCCTTATTCCCGAGTTGCCCCTTTAGTCTCAGCTGCTCCTACTTTCTAGCAGCTCTGTGCGTGCACTGGGAACAGGCTCCCCTGGTTTCTCTGCCTCGCTGCTGCCAGACTCTGGAGGCTCCGGAGTCAGCACCCCACTCCCAGATGGTCCTGGCCCCATCTCCGCATCAGACGCAGGACCCTCGTTCGAGTCCTCCACAGACTCCCGGACTGGTCCCCGTTCCTCTCCACTGTCTGATTCCGCTGCCGTCTGCACAGACTGCCAGCAAACCACAACACCCTGTTAGTCTCTTATTACAGTACTAGCCAAATCTTATTTTATCGCATTTTCAAGAGCTGTCAACATGACCTCTGGTTGGTTTCTACATCCGAGTGACCACTGCAGCATTTCCAGGGTCACAGGATCAAAATTCGGACCCTCTCAGCATCCTTGAAAGCGACGTTATCAACATTCGGATGCTTGGCAGCTGCTGACTCACAGTTATGATGGCTGCAGTGTCCCGTTGTCAAGTGATCCCTGTTTGCAACCTTTGGACAAGCAAATTCCAGTGGGGAAGCCAGGTTTACTGAACAATTGTGTGACTAACTTAACAACTGTGATGAGAAAGTTCATAAAACGGGGCAAAATCCACTTAGCGACTGTGTCACTGAGCAAGAGAGATTTTGAGTTCCATTGTGGTCATAAGTTGAGGATTATTTCAATTATCTTTGTTTATAATTGTTATAAAGTTTTCATATAATTTTATGTATAATTTTAGATAAGTCTATTATATAAATTACCATAATATAAATAACAATAATAATAGCCTTATAGATTATCCTTACAAAAGACACTGTATTTTCTATTCAGTATACTTTATTTTATTCTTATTTATTCATTAAATTTGTATGTCATCCGTTTGACTACTGAGTGACTCTGGGCTTTGGCTTCGAGCAACAGTTTATCCTTCCAAGTTAACCCAAATACTGGATAAAGTATCGGGGGGATTCTGGGAGTTTGAGTCCACACCACTTAAAGTTCCCAAGTTTGAAAAATATTGATTTGAATTATGCAAGACAGTCAAATCCTCGACTTACAGCCATTCATTTAAGGACTGTGCGAATTTATACAGTGTTGGAGGCGAAAAAGGACTTATTACCAGTCCTCAGACTTATGACCATGGCAGCAGCCGCTTTCTTTCTTTTTTTTTAAGAACAAGTTTTATTGATTTTTGAAGACAAACAAAACATAAAACATAAAAGTATAAAACCTCCTTTCTAAAAATTACTTATAAATTTTAACAAAGCAAATAAAGCATTAATTTTTAAGACATAGTTCCACATTATCACATTTCCATTTACACATATATATCTTTTCCAAATTTCTCATTGTTTCTCCCTTCACTTTTATTCAATTATATTTCTTTCTATCAAGGTTTTATTAGTTCTCAATCAGTCATAAGCACACAAAATACAAAACATAAAACAAGACATTAACAAAAAAAAAACCCTCCTTAATTGTCATTTATACATGTCTTTTCCAAATTTCTCTCCCTTCTGTTTTATTCCTCCAAGGTTTTATTAATTCACAATCAAACATAACTAACCAAAACACAAAACATAAAACATAAGACTTCTTTTGAAAAGTGGCAGCAGTCCCTTTCTGGCAAGGGAAGTCACAGAAGGAAACCAGGTTTGTTTTAACAACCATGTGGTTTGTTTAACAACTGTAGTGATCTGCTTAACAACTGTGGGGGAAAATGCCATAAAATCAAGCCTGCCTCTACGTTACTCTTCTTTTTCTTGCATCATCAAAGCAAGTCAGCAGCTTGTCAGGTAATCCTCAACTTACAACTTAACATTCAGTTAGTGGCTTGGGATGAGGGGAGGTGTAAATAAAGCCACATTCAGAGGACCCCAATATCCCCGACTGAGTTTCCAGTGTCACTTACACATATTCAGCTGGCGGACAAAACTGGCCATGTTGTTGTGCTTGAAATATTTGGGCAGGACTTCCTTGGCAAACTGGCTCTGATCGAAAACATGGAAGCTGGTGCCATTCTGAAAGGAAAGGGAAAAAAAATAACGCAAGACATCATTAGACGCGCCTTCAAAACCCTCCGTCTCCATTGATGGGGAAAATAACATCATTTTTTGGCAATAATATGGAAATGATTAACTTGATTTCTTTGGGGTACCGATTTTACTTCCCAGGCTATGACTCTGGGAAAAGAAAACTAAGTTTAACACTGCTTATCTTTTACAGGACTTAGTCAAGGTTGGTCAGATGAATGCTAACATGCTTGTGAAGAAGGCACAGAGGAAGAGGCTATCCTTCCTGAGAATGCCCAGGAAGACAAATCTATCTCAGCATCTACTTCTCCCCTACTACCACTGCACCATTGAGAGTGTCCTGACATACGGCATCCTTGCATAGGATGGAGCAGCTCTGGAGCAGACAAAAAAGCATTCAAACTGCCTAGAATATCATTGGGCTCCAGCTACCAGCCCTGGACGACATCTTTGAATCTCGCTGTTTAAGGAAGTTGCACAACATTCTCAGAGACTCTTCCCATCCTGCTCACAATCTTTGTGAACTGTTGCCTTCTGGCAGAAGATACAGAACAATTAAAACTCGGACTGCACGTTTTCTGAACCGTTTTTATCCCAGAGGTATAACTGCCCTAAACAATGAACTTAAAGACCACCATCAGTGAGCTGTTGGACAGTATTACTGTTCTGTTGTGTGGATGCTTGTGTGTTTTTAGGAGGAAGGGAATTTTGGTGGGTGGGGAGGTGTTTGGGGACTGTCATGTGTGTGTGCATGTTGAATCTGGTCTCTGGGCATTATGTGAATTTTGTTGTATATGTATACTGTGCATGTACGTACAATGACAATAAAGAATTCAATTCAATTCAGATGCTAGCTTTGCCTTCAAAGATCTCTGTAAGGCAGTGTTTCTCACCATTGGCAACTTTAAAATGAGATCATGCATTATTTCACTATCTCACACCCAAAAATTATTTCCAACGGTCTGGTAAAAGTAAAGTCTTACACTTAGGCAAGAAAAACCAAAAGGACACATATAGACTGGGTGAAACCAGGCTTAATAGCAGCAACTGTGAGAGGGATTTTGGTGGACAACCAGCTAAATATGAGCCAGCCGTGTGCAGCAGCTGCCAAAAAAGCTAATGCAATCCTAAATTGTATTAACAGAGGGATACAATCAAGACCAAGGGAGGTACTAATACCACTCTATAAAGCCTTAGTAAGACCACACCTAGAGTACTGCATCCAGTTTTGGTCACCACACTATAGAAAAGATGTTGAGACTCCAGAAAGAGTGCAGAGAAGAGCAACTAGGATGATGAGGGGACTGGAGGCTGAAACATATGATGAACGCTTGCAGGAACTGGGCATGAGAAGGACCAGGGGAGACATGAAAACAGTCTTCCAATATTTGAGGGGCTGCCCCAGAGAGGAGGAAGGGGTCAAGCTGTTTTCCAAGGCACCCGAAGGCCAGAGAAGGAACAATGGATGGAAACTGAACAAGGAGAGATTCAATCTGGAAATAAGGAGGAATTTTCTGGCAGTGAGAACAATCAACCTGTGGAGCAGAAATTGCCTTCAGAAGTTGTGGGAGCTTCATCTTTGGAGGCATTCAAGAAGAGACTGGACAGCCACCTGTCAGAAATGGGGTAGTATCTCCTGCTTGGGTGGGGGTTGGACTAAATGACCTACAAAGTCCCTTCCAACTCTGTTAATCTATAAGCCATTTTTCTCCAGATTCCTAAACTTTAACTTCTCGGAATATACTGTTCAGATCTCATTAAATAGCGTAGATTTACCTGGTTTTTTTTTTCTTTTGCCTCAAATAATATAGCTTAAAATATTTATGCAGATGATGGATTCTGTAGAAACTATGATCATTCAGATCATCTTTATATAATCTTTTCCCCGGAATTTTTCTGATTCAACATTTTCTGGAAAAGCCATGTTTTCACGAGAGGTGGCATCCTGGATGACAGTTCAGCAACTCTGAAGGCTGATGAATTCAAGGAGGCTGACAAAGGTTTTCCCAGGCATGGTAGCTATCGGATTGCTCTGCTCGATCAGCCCAAGGGCTGAGTCAGTCCATCATTGTGTGTCAGAGAGTAGCCAGCACATTTGTGAAGCTCACAAGCACAGCCAGGAGGCTATGCCAACTGGGGCTCCTGGCCGTCAATCTTCTTTTATTGGAGATAACAGCCATCCTAGTTAGCACCATTGATAAACTTGGCTCTTCTACAATTCATCTAAACGATAGAATGATAGCAATAGCAATCCCACTTAGACTTATATACCACTTCACAGTACTTTCCAGCCCTCTCTAAGTGGTTTACAGAGTCAGCTTCTGGCCCCCAACAATCTGGGTCCTCATTTTAGCCACCTCTGAAGGAGGGAAGGCTGAGTCAACCTTAAGTCTTTGGTCAGGATTGAACTACTGGCAGTGGGCAGAATTAGCCTGCAGTAGTGTACTCTAGGGATGTGGTGGCTCAGTGGCGAAAACGCTGAGCTTGTCGATCAGAAAGGTTGGCAGTTCAACTGTTCGAATCCCTAGCACCGTGTAATGGAGTGAACTCCCGTTCCTTGTCCTACCTAGCAGTTCGAAAGCACGTAAAAAAATGCAAGTAGAAAAATAGGGACCCCTTTGGTGGGAAGGGAACAGCGTTCTGTGCGCCTTCGAAGGCATTTTGTCCTGCCGGCCACATGACCACGGAGACGTCTTCGGATAGCACTGGCTCTTCGGCTTTGTGATGGAGATAAGCCCCGCCCCCTAGAGCTAGGAACGATGAGCACATATGTGCGAGGGGAATTTTTTACCTTACTGCACTCTAACCACTCCACTACCATGGCTCGTGATGGAGAAGAGAAGCCCGTGGCACAAGGTTGTGAGAAAGAGAAACTGGGATCATAAAGATGGATGAACTGCTAGAGACGATTACTGGGAAAAGGACAAAGTGGTAGGACATCTGTCCGGCTAGTTTCTCAATCTCAACTTGCGGGCATCGGTTTTAAGTAGCGAAAGAAGTCACTTCAAATCTCTCTAGCAGGACAGGGAGGAATTATGTTCCTCTTTCAGTGGAAGAGTTATCAAGGCCACCCCTCACTGAATAACAAAGTTGGAAGGGGGCTTGGAGGTCTTCTAGTCCAACCCACAGTCAAGCAGGAAACCCTATATACCACTTCAGAAAAATGATTGTCCGATCTCTTCTTAAAAACTGCACCACATTCTATTTTCTTCATGCTTTTCTGTTTAATTTTACATTTGTGTTTGCACATGGCTGATAGCTTAAAGACCCTTCCTTTATTGGATAAGCATAAATAAAATGTCTGCAAAGACAAAGAGCCGTATATTTGTCCCAAAGGTGCTTTTTCAAGAGGCAAATGGACGTTCTGGGCTTTTCTTTTTGTGAAGACCTTTCACTTCTCATCCAAGAAGCTTCTTCATCCCAGAAGTTTCTTCTTTTTCTTCTTCAGAGCTGAAGAAGCTTCTTGGATGAGAAGTGAAACGTCTTCAAAGAAAAAAAAAAACAGAAAGTCCAGATGCTTCTTGAAAAAAGCACCTTTTGGGACAACCATGACCTGGATGACTGAGAATCTCCATAGCAGTATATTTGGATTTACATAATATACAAGGTGTGATGTGATTTCTTAACATGGTTTGAAAGTTGTAGTTCTAGTTTATGGGCAGAAAAATCCATTATTCATTGTAAAAAACACTGAGGAAGTCTGCCATCTGGACTGGCAGTTGAACAGTGCGTAACATTTTTTTTTTAAAGTATCTTACACACACAAATCATTCAGAGGTGTTTTCCACAAGTTTATGCCATACCCTTCCCGTCTAGTGTTTTGTAAGGCTGTGAAAATCCATTATTTCACTGTATTTGCAACCAGGATGGAACATCGATGATACCTGGAGCTCTTCAATTAATGCACCTCTTTTTATTTTTATTTGGTATTTTTACTCTCCTGGACATCAATCTAGACGAGAGTCTACAAACTGGTGCAAGTAATATAAACTCTGAAACAAATACAGAATAATTGATCTGTGGCAACTGGGTAAATTATTATCTATTACGCAGTTCTTACCTTTGGGTTTATAGGCACATGGCTGATCAGTGCATTTGGGATGTTCCTCTGAAGGGTAGGGGCCCAGGACAAGGGGCTCAAATTAGAAGAAATTTCAGTGAAATGCAGGGGAAAAATCTTAAGGTATCAACTGTTCAGCAGTGAAAATATTATTATATTAGACTATTTTGAAGCAGGAGTTATATAGTTGGCTACAAAGAATGAATTTATTTTGCATTTTAAAAATATTAGACGATTTTAAAACAGAACCTAGATAGTTGGCTACAGAGAATGAATTTATTTTACAATGACAAGACAATGGACTGGATAATTTAGGGGATGAGTTCACCTGAACAGTTGAGTCACCTGAACAGAAAAAGCATCCTATCCATATATACCAATTGTTCCCTCAAAGTCTCTTCTAATTTTCTGTCTCTATTATCTATCTATCTATCTATCTATCTATCTATCTATCTATCTATCTATCTATCTATCTATCTTCCATCATCTATCATGTCTATATCATCTATCAATCATCTAGCTATCATCTATCCATCTATCATTATTTATCTCTATAGCTATCATCTATCAGGATATATTATCTATCATCAATCTATCCATTACCTATCTTCATCTATATGTATTATTTCTATTATAATCTGACTCTTCCTATCTCTATCTATACTTGTCCATCTACAGTATCTCCCTCAAAAGTTTTTTTCCCGAATGCTATCACTCTGCTAAACTAATTCCCACAACACTGTCAACTTATTTACTAAGACTGTATTACTATTATTGCTCTTATCCTTCCTAGTATCTTGTTCTTCCCACTTATGACTGTAACCGTGTTGCTTGTATCTTTACAATTTATAATGTTTTGTTCCCTAGTATGATTTGATTGCTTATTTATTTATACTATGATTACCACTAAGTGTTGTACCTTATGATTTTTGATGAATGTATTTTTTCCTTTATGTACACTAAAAGCATATGCACCAAAGACAAATTCCTTGTGGGTGCAATCACACTTGGCCAATAAAGAATTCTATTCTATTCTATTCTATTCTATTCTAATTCTAATTCTAATTCTATTCGATTTCTATTCTATTTCTGTTCTTTTCTGTTCTGTCCTATTCCATTTCTATTCTATCCCCCCACCACCACACACACACACAGTATCCATCTATGTACCATCTATCCATCCATCCACCCATCTCCAGTATCTATCTGTGAAACATGGCATGCAGGGAAGTAAAATCCTTTAGCATATCTGTTTGCAATAATGTTTTCATGGACCACAATCATTTTCTCAGTTAGAGATCAACGGGAGGAGGGAGTAAGAGGAAGATAAATTTCATCTATTTGCCTTCCACTAAATGAGGCTTTTTTTTTAATCTGGTGAGTCCATCCCCAGAGCTACTTTGAGAACTCCAGACCTGCTTTCAAAATTAGTATGCTTATCACCTTTGTCATTATTGCCATGGCTGATAGAACCATCGCTGTTATAGTCATCTCTGATCCACTCAGAATCAAAGATTTCGAGGGGGGTGGTGGAAACGGACTACAAAATAATTTAGATTTCAGCAGCAGCCCAGTTTGTGAACCTCTGGTATGAACTAAGAACTGAGCCTTGCTTAGGATTCAACAGGGCGATGGACTGAAACTGTTCTGAGTAAAACAAGATAGTTACGATCATTGAGACAGACAGTGGAGAAACACACAAACTGAGATGCGTAGGCGGTCCTAAAAACATTTGATATTGAATTCCTGCCAACTGCTTTGACAGGGATAGACTACTCAATATCAGAACTACGGAGTTGGAAGGTGCCTTGGAGATCTTCTATTCCAACCTCCTGCTCATGTAAAAAGACCATATATTATATTGCAGACAAGTGCCTGTCCAGTCTCTTCTTAAAAGCATCCAGTGATGAAGCATCCACAACTTCTGGTGGCCAGCTGTTCTATTGATAAATTGTTTTCACTGTTAGGAAGTTTCTCCTTAGTTCTAAGGTTGCTTCTCTCGATTAGTTTCCACCCATTGCTTCTTGTCCTGCCTTCTGGTGCTGTGGAAAATTAGGTTGACTCCCTCTTCTCTGTGGCAGCCCCTCAAATATGGGAATCCTGCTATCATGTAGACATACCCAATTCCTTCATATGTTTTATTTATTTGATTTGTCAATCGCTCACAAGATAATAGGAATAAGTATAAACATGGGTAAGAATACACGAAATAGGTACGAATAAATGGGGACAATAGGACAGGGACGGGAGGCACGATGGTGCACGATGGTGCACTTATGCACGCCCCTTACAGCCTCTTAGGAATGAGGTGAGGTCAATAGTGGATAGATTGAGGTTAAAGGAGTGGGGGTTAGAGGATGTAACAACAGAGTCAGGTAGGGCATTCCAGGCATTGACCACTCTGTTGCTGAAGTCGTACTTTCTGCAATCAAGTTTGAAGCGGTTTACATTGATTGATTGATTGATTGGTTAACATCATGTCTCCACTAGTCCTTCTTTTCATTCAACTAGACATACCCAATTCCTTCATAGTTTAGCCTCCTAATCATCTCTATTGCTCTTTTCTGCGCTCTTTCTAGAGTCTCAACATCTTTTTTTAAAATATTGTGTCGACCAAAACCGCCAGGCAGTATTCCAAGCGCTTTGGAGTGCATCCCGTTGCCCCTTTAAATGCCCAAACATGAGTTCTCGACTCACCGTATTCCAGCAGATAAGGTGGTTGGTCTCGGGATCTTCAACCAGAGTCCACAACTTAGTAAGGAAGGCTGGCACGCTGCTGGTGTAACCGTCCATAGCAAGGGCCGTGGTTGAGTCCTGCATGGTGTTGCAACTCACAAAAACTATTCTCTCACACACTTGGTTTTTTTTTCTTTTTTTTGCAACAATGCCACCCCCCCTTTCCTCGCTTTTGCATAGATCAGAGGGCAAAAGAGCCACTTAGTGTCCTGGGCACGGATGAGGAAACACCCCTTTCCCCCCAGAGGGGTCCTATCAGCAGAGGCATTGGCTCAACTCCAAACACCTCACAATATGCAGACATGGCTAATGGGGCTGGGCGAGAGGTGGGGAGGGGATCGACAATACTCTGAGCGAAAGCTCCCTGCTTTCAACTGCACAATGCCATGAAAAAAGATGCAACATCATGCAAAGAGAATACACGGGCTTGCACAAACACTGGAGGTCAGCAAATCCCTCGGGGGGTGTGGAGGGGGGGGAGAAGAGGAAATGGCAGCACCTACTCCCTCACTCCTCTTGTGCTTACACAACCAGCAGGAGAGGAGCGAGCCTCGGTCTACAGCCTTCAGGTCAGCTGCTTAAGTGGTTTTGGGCAGATTCTGGACCGCCCGCCGTTTAATGTGATAAAAAACCCTAAAGACGTTGGCGATGTAGGGCAGCTAAGCCAAGGGACCATCGGAGAGAAACACACTGCCTGCAGAGTAAACAAAGGACAGCCGTAGAAGAGATTATTTGTAGCTCAAGGCGGATATGAGGAGTCCTTGGGGGTCTCTGAGCTGGTTTTCTTGCGGGCATTTCGCTACTCAACTAGGTAACATCATCCGTGCTAGAAAGAGTGGAATTTGCGGAGAGGAGGAAGGAGGGAGCTCCTTGGTGTTCTCGGAGCTTGTTGGTTTTCTTGCAAACATTTCACTACTCAACTAGGCAACATCATCAGTGCTAGAAAGAGTGGATTTGTCGGGGGAGAGGGGGAGGAAGAGGAGGAGGGGGAGGAGGAAGAGGACGCCAACTCCTTGGTGTGGAGCTTGGTTTTCTTGCAAACATTTCTCTACTCAACTAGGCAACATCATCAGTGCTAGAAAGAGTGGATTTGTGAGGAGGTGGAGTGGAGCTTGCCAGGTCTGTGTGTGTGGAGGATGACCAAAGAGCTAAGTTGTGGTCACGTGACCACAAAGGCTTCAACTGGGTGTAAAGGTGAGCCAGTTGCCAAGTGCCTGAAAAACTGCAGAGGAAGTGCAGCGAGTGGAATCAGGTCGTAAGTACCTTTTGGGGGGAGTGAGGTGTTCATCCTACCTTGAATGGTTGTTAAGCAACCGGTCATTGAGCAAAGACTACCTATGCATCTCCAGAATTTTAATTTCAGTGCAATTAAAAGAAGGATGCCAAAAAGAATTTTCCATTGTGGAAACTGAGCAGTTTTATGCCATGGGAAACCGTAATTCTATACCAAAATCTAGAGATGCTCTGAAGCTACTAAAACCCTTGAGATGGCTGGCTCTGCACCCCGACTTAATGTAACTTGGGACCTGCATGACAAAAAATAAAGTGATTTTTTTTATGGTCCAGGCAAAAAAACTAAGGAAACAGCAAGACCATTATAAACTGTTCAAAATTTGCAAAATCTTTATTGTGACTCACAGGTGACCATGGTATCTCCCAAATAACAAGAATTAGAAAATATTAAAATCTGCAGCGGAATTAGAATCCAGAAATGCAGAATAAACCAAATCTTGCATCGTCCCCCCCCCCAAATTCTGTGCTTTCCCTTCTGTGATGAACTGTGCATATCGAGAGATTATGATTATTTTTAAAAAAAGCAAAGATCCTTTACAAACATTCCCAGATCGGGCGATTTATAAAATAGATCTGTGCATCAATAACAAAATAAAAGAAAGCAATATATATATATATATATATATATAAAGAAATATATATATATATATATATATAAAGAAAGCACTTTTATTTAAATGGCTCGCCCCGCGGGAAGAAAGTGCACCATACCCCTTTTTACGTCCCAAATCGTGTTGCATTTATGCTTCAGGACTGGGGATGTTCAAGTGGCACTTGGCCAAGTTAGGGGCACAATATTGGTAGCATAGAAGACAAGAGTGTGGTGGACAGTGTGTAGTTTCTCAAGTCGGGACAGTGCGAGAGAAACGCCTCTATCACGGCTTGGCTAACCACGCAGTAACAATGAAACTCCTTCAGACGCCCACATTTCTTGGCCAACTCGATCAGGGAGATGTTGAGCGCCTCTGAAGAGGCTGTGTAAAGGATGAGTCTCTCCACTGTCTGGCTGTAGTAGCTGGTGATTAGCCTCAGGTGATCAGTCATGTAATGGAGGTAATTGAACTGCAGAGACTTCATGGGAATGCCGGCCTTGAGGACGCCGGGAATCTTGGTGGTGTCCACCATAGCAGCGAATTCCAACTTTACCCGGAATTGGGGGTGCCTCCGGCTCATCGTAGCCCAACACTCTTCGGGAATGTTCTTCTCCAGGCCTTCGTATAAAATGTCCAAGCATTTGAAGGGGCCTCTGTTGGGCTTCACTAGTTCTTGGAAGAGGTCCTTCGACAGGTTGGTATAATGAACGCCCAACACCGTAAGTTTCGGGCAAATCCGTGCCACCTCCACCACCGTCCTGGGTTTCAGGATGATGACTCCGGGAGCTCGGTTGTTGATCAGAAAGGTGCGAAGGTTTGGGTTCTTGGAAGCCAGGAGTAGCACCATCCCGTTGTCCAGGATGAAAGGCATCTGCCGAAGATCGACGTGTTGCAGGTCGAGGTTCTGGTTGCTTTGGCAAAGCAGGCGGACGCTATGCAGGAGATCCTGGCCAGAGTAGAAGTAAGGGTTCAACCCCTGGCAGATAATGCACAGCCCCCGCAGACTGATCCTCCTGTAGGTCAGCATGTCTAAGGTTTGGGTGACGAGTCTTCGGTTTAACTCCAAGTACTGGTTCAGTATGATCTTCAGGTGTCGGATATGGACCAGGTACGGGTGTAACGTCCTTAATATATAGGCTTCGTCATCTTTTTCGAAGTCAAAACTGAAAGGATTGTTGGGGGGAAGGAAAGGGACAAAGAAACCTTCATGAGGCCACCTAGCAAGTTCCAAAACAGGACAGTGGAAGCAGTGGTGGGATTCAATTATTTTTTACTACTGGCTTTGTGGGCGTGGCTTTGTGGGTGTAGCCTGGCTTGGTGGGCATGACAGGGGAAGGATACTGCAAAATCCCCCTTCCCTCCCCACTCCACTAACCTGCTTTCCAGCTCCGTTCTCTTGTGCAGAGCAACCAAAACATACCCAGCCAATCAGCTGGGATTCAATGGGAGGCAGAGAAGAGATGGGGTTGGCGGGGCCAGTCAGAGGCGGGATTTTCCGGTTCTCCGAACTACTCAAAATTTCCACCACTGGTTCTCCAGAACTGGTCAGAACCGGCTGAATACCACCTCTTGAGCAGAAGTCCTTGCAAGCTCATTTACAGATTATCCTCAACTTACAGCCATTTGGTTTAGTGACTATTCAACGTTAAAACAGCCCTGACCAGCTGGCTGTTGTTCACACTTACAACTGTTGCAGCATCCCAGTGGTCATGCGATTAAGATTTGGATGCTTATATTTACATTCGCATAAATTGAATAAATTTGTAAATAATGCACAAAATAGAAGTATAAGATGTATGTTACAATCTGTTGAAGTCAAGGTATTTACATTCTTTGTTTGTTTTTAAAGATATAAAAGATGAATAAAGTTTATTTAAAAAAAATAAAAAAATAAAATTTGGATGCTTGGCAACTGGCATGTACTTATGATGGTTGCAGTGTCCCAGGGCCAAGTGATCAGCTTTTGTGTCCTTCTGACAAGCAATGTGAAGGGAGAAGCCAGGGGTGGGCTGCTGGGGGTTCGCAGGGGTTCGGAAGAGTCACTTGCTATGATTCTGTTGCAAGTTGAGGACTCCCTGTATTCATGTAATAAATACGTCATTCACTTAACAACTGCAATGAGTCACTCAACCATCATGGCAATAAAAAGGTCGCAAAATCAGCACAGCTTAGAAATGGAAATTTGTCCCCATTATGGTTGCAAATCAAGAACTATCTATAGTGCAAACCTTCACTCTCTCATACTACGGTACTTATAGCAAATGACTTTAGCCCCAAAATATTAGAGACCAACCTGACTGGCGTACAAATTTTTATTGGTTTGGCAACTGGGCCTGCTCCGGATGACAGCTATTCTATAAACAGGCAGTTCTAAAAGAGGGGATCAAATTATTCTCCAAAGCACCCGAGGGCAGGACAAGAAACAATGGATGGAAACTAATCAAGGAGAGAAGCAACCTGGAACTAAGGAGAAACTTCTATTCCTAGCTTCATAGAAGGAGTAAACCAGGATTTACCCAGTATGCTAAGCCTAGTAAGACCACACCTGGAATACTGCAACCAGTTTTGGTCACCATATTACAAAAAAGATGTTGGAGACTTTGGAAAAAGTTCAGAGAAGAGCAAACTAAGATGATCAAAGGCCTGGAGACTAAAACATATGAAGAACGGCTGCAGGATTTGGGTCGGGTTAGTCTAAAGAACAATTCACCAGTGGAACAGCTTTGCCTTCAGAAGTTGTGGGCGCTTCATCACTGGAGATTTTCAAGAAGAAACTGGACGGTCACTTATCTGAAATAGTATAGGTTCTCCTGCTTGACAGGGGGCTGGACTAGATGACCTCCAAGCTCTAGTCTATTCTAATTTCTACAATTACACCCATCTCTTGAATGCACTCACTATGATTACAAATATGCCTCCAATTTAAAAATACATTCAGTAAGGCAGCAGTAGACCAGTAAAACTGAACACAGCCTTTTCCAATAGATTCCTTCCCAGGACCAATTTTGTCCTAATGCACTGAATATAGAACAGAATATGTAGAGTAGAGTAGGAACCCATCTTCTAGTCCAACCCCTTGCTCAAGACATTGGTGTTTGACGTTTATATTTTATTTTGCTTTTACTAATCTAGGTGAAATGTTAATCTACGTTGCTAGTCCGTGTATGATATGACACATGCTAAATAACCAGCGATTTC